CAAGAGAGAGATCAGAGAGAGAATAAAGTGAGTTTGATGAGAACAGAATGAACCAATCACAGCTCCTCTCTACCTGAGCAGGTGAGGCTAACAGCTGTGCCAGGTGAGCAGGTGTTTCTCTCTGAGGCTGAGCTACAGTCCAGGAGAGCAGACTCATTGCCTCCACACTGGAACTCTTTGGTCCACATTGGAGCCTCCCCTTCTCCATAGAGCGCCCCCTGGAGGACTGAAGGAGCCCCACAGCCCAGCTGCCGGCAGACCACCTGAGCATCCTGCTGGTCAAAGCCAGCCTCACACACTGAGGACCAGGACGGGTTAGACGGGTTAGACTGGTCAGACTTCACCTCCAGTCTGCCTGAGCACAGACCAGTCCCCCCCAGCAGCCTGACAGAGTCTGCAGAGGACAGAAGGTCAAACAGAGGTCAAAGACACACCATCATTTTTTTCATTTCATTTCAAACCTTTATTTAACAAGATTGGTCCCTTGAGATCATAGATCTCTTTTTCAAGGGAGACCTGCAGCAAATAGGTTCCACATGAAACATAAAACAAACATAAAACAATAAAGGACATCATATATTACATTTACAGGCTACATTTACATAGTTATCGACATTTACAAGTACCCATGGTATCAAAAAGCATTTCACTTAGCCTAGCTTTAAAAACATGCAGAGCAATGAAATTGCTCAGTTTCAATTCTTGCTGAAGATTGTTCCAAGCAAGTGGAGCTGCGCACATAAAAGCTGTCTTCCCTAAGACAGTCCTTGCTCTTGGCACATTTAATAAAACCACAGCATGTGATCTCAGGCAATAACTACTTTCAATTCGCCGAGAGATCAGGGAGCAGATATAAGATGGTAGTTTACCCAACATGGCTTTATAAATAAACATGTACCAGTGACTGAGCCTCCGTACAGTAAGTGATGGCAAACCTCCTTGGTATACAGGGTACAGTGATGCGTAAGTGACTTTAAAAGTGTTAAATGTTGTGCATCAATAACAGATTTGATGTTGTTACATTTCTATAAAAAATGCTTTTGTGAGTGGATTTCTGAGACACCCTGACGCCGCTAGATTCACAAAGGAATGTATTCAAGGTGGGAGTTTCTGTAGCCAATCAGATGTCTGCATCATTTAAGCCAATCACACACTGAAAAAACTGATTCTGACCCCTTTTAGATGTTACATGTTTTAATCTAGCCTTTTTTAATAGATTTGAATGTGTTATAGCATCCTTCTTATCTTTTTTAATTAATCTTAACATATTTTGTCACTGTTTAAAACAAGTTCATTTCATTCATTTAAAAATAATTAGAAAAAATTATGTACCATTTAATTACCACATAATACTGTCCTGTCTGCGCATGTGCATACACAAGCAGACCGCCACTTTTCCCTCCATTTTCCATTCGGAATCGGAAGGACAGGACTGCCTGTGTATAGCTCCGCTGTCGTGAGGTGAACATTCTCCACGGCTCTCCGTTTTAAGTAAGTAGGCTAGCTAATTTATAGCATTGGGTGTATTATATTATACTTAAATAGGTAGCTTTTTGATAGATTAACATTAGCAAACGTTAACGTAGGCCTACAGCAGCTAGCTAACTGTTAGCCTAGCTTAGTTGTGTAGTAATGTTTAAGTAATTTAAATGAAGTGTAACATGCATCATTAACATTATAAGATAACTTAATACTGCTCTCAAGTTAAATACGTGTTAAATTCAATCTTTGTCTTGTTAGACTTTATTATTAGTTGTTGGCTAATACAAGTTGAATGTTAAACTGCCTGTTCCTATGGCTTTTTTTTTTTGTAGCTTCAACTTCCCCGCTGCCCGGCTTGTATACTGGCCATGCTGTCTTCCTGACCGACTGTAAGTATGTTTTATTTTATTCTTATCACTGTGGTAATATTAGGACACAACTAAACATATGAAATCACGTTGGTAAGGGTGCTTTTGGTAACGTTACTCTCTGGCGGCAAGGGGTTAATGTTACCGCGGCTAACGTTCATATCTTGGTCTTATAAGCGCTTTCACACCGGACCGGAGTACTTTCCCCCCCGAACTAGGGGGGAGGGGGGGTAGTCTTAGTTTCGCCAACACCGTATATAATATGCTATAAGACAAAATGCGTCTATGATGTATTTTCGATCTTTCCAATCCAGACGAGAGATCTTTCTCTCCCCCGTGCCCCGTCTGTGTGCGAGGGGGCGGGGCAGTTTACACACAGGCGGCTGCTACATGCATTCAACACACGGCGGAGAGAGAACTAACCGCTCCGAGGTGTGTTTAAATGTTACCCGTCTTGAGGTGGACTCTTTGCCAAAAGTGAGAAATAATTGATTGGTTTTGGCTATGGAATAGAATATTGTAACGACCCGGTATAGGGTGCTGTGTGGGTCACTCAAGCATCCCCCGGCTCTCTGCCAATCACAGAGCGGCACAGTAATGCTGGTCGGCGTGCGGGCCTGTGGTTGGGGGAGCAAAGGTGTGTGTGTGTGTGTGTGTGTGTGTGTGTGTGTGTGTGTGTGTGTGTGTGTGTGTGTGTGTGTGTGTGTGTGTGTGTGTGTGTGTGTGTGTGTGTGTGTGTGTGTGTGTGTGTGTGTGTGTGTGTGTGTGTGTGTGTGTGTGTGTGTGTGTGTGTGTGTGTGTGTGTGTGTGTGTGTGTGTGGGTGTTGTGTGTGTGTGTGTGTGTGTGTGTGTGTGTGTGTGTGTGTGTGTGTGTGTGTGTGTGTGTGTGTGTGTGGCCTGTTTCCGACTCCTATTGTGGAACGTTACAATATCATCATTTAATGTCATTATACATGTACAATGAAAGAAAAGCTTCTCCCTTTTTAAAAGGTGCCATCAAGTGCAATAACAGTTTAGCATGTAAGGGTGGTAACACAGGCAATTTGTCTAAACATTTAGCAAAAGTGCACCACATCCAGTAATATTTAGGCTCTATTTAAAAAGAAAAACGTAACATTGTTTGTCACAAAGAATTTTGTAGGATTTTGAGTCATTGGCCTAACACAAGTTAGTAATCATTAGCAATCAATTACCTTTTTTCATTTACCATTATTATTTTTCATTTCTGCTCATCTTTATTTTTATTGCAGGTTTTTCTATCTGATGTTGGTGTGATGTAGAACAGAACCTTACTCTTTGGGGACCTCATGTTGTTTTGGTAAGTCAATTTATCAAACAAATTCCTTACTCTTCAAGTTTTGAGCAAACTATTAGGATTTTCGTTTAGTTCACTCTGCTTAGAGATCCAAATTATTTGTAGATCACCATGACCCAAAGGTGACTGTGAAACACCATCACTAATGTTTGATTCCCCCCCCCCCCCCTTTTCTCTCTTTGGTGTTTGTCTAGTTTATGTGGCAGTGTAAAGACTGTGGCGCTGAAGTGTCTAAGCGATCACAAATTCTCAAACATTACAGACTAAAACATAGTCATTTTGGGCGTGGCCATCATATTAAGTGTATATATCCTGATTGTCCATGCATTTTTAAGGCTTGGAATACTCTTTTGGTACACTTGTCAAGGAATCACACCAATACCTCAAAGCCCTCTGCTGACATATTTACTACATTTTCCTGTCATCTATGTGGCTGTAGTGAACTCGGAACAGAACGTGATTATTTTGTGCACATAAGCCATCATCTGAGAAACAATGAGACAGTCACTTGTATGTTTAAAGGCTGTGCATACAAATCCAACATATACAGCACCTTCAAGTCACACAAAAGACGGAAGCACAGCTTGCATTCATTGGTAGATTTTAAGGACGGTGTTGTACAAGGAACTTGTGTAGGTGAAACTGGAGAGCCTGGTGTTTCAAACAATGAGGACATTTGCGATGAAAGTCAGTTTGATGATGTTGATTTAGATACGTCGAAGGATCAGCCAGAAATAGAGCAAAAAATTGCGGCAGTGTTATTAAAGCTGGAAAATATTTTTCATGTGCCAAGTGCTGCAGTTGATGAATTGCTGGAAGAATTTCAATATTTGTTGAGCACAGCATCTTTGTGTAGTACAAGAAATGTGATCCATGACACACTAAATAGTTACAATCTACAAGTTGACCAGTCGGTCATTGAAGAACTTGCATCTGCTCTGTGTACATCTAATCCTGTGTACAAGGCTATTGGTAAAGGTTGTCCTTTGGCAACATCCTTTAAACGCAAGCAATACTATAAACACAATTTTAAAGTTGTGGAACCCATAGAATATATCTTGGATGAGAAAGATAAAAGAACGCTACAGTATGTTCCACTATTAAAGTTTTTGCAGCAGCTTTTCACTGATGGTCACATTCTTAACAAAGCATTAGACAGTCAACTCATATCAGAGGATAGAGGAGAAGAAGTGGTATACAAGTCTTTTCGAGATGGTTTGTTTTTCAAGGATAACCATTTTTTTGTCAGGAGGTGAATTGCGAGTGTTACTGAATTTGTATGTCGATGACTTTGAGATTTGTAATCCGCTTGGCACATCTCGTAAAAAGCACAAGATCTGTGGCGTTTATTGGACTCTCAGCAATTTACCACCAGGTTGCCATTCTTCGTTATCTTCTATTTATTTGGCCTTACTCTGCAGGTCTGACGATGTGCGAACATATGGCTATGAAAGGGTCCTAGAGCCCTTGTTGAGGGATCTTGTCATTTTGGAAAGTCAAGGTATTTTTATTGCACAGCTTGGAGATTGTGTTAAGGGCACAATACAGTGTGTCATAGCTGACAATTTGGGAGCACATGGAGTAGCTGGATTTCTTGAGAGTTTTTCAGGTGGGTACATTTGCCGTTTTTGTGTGGCACAAAAGTCTGAAATTCAGGAGAGGGAAGTGAGTTCAGGTGCATTTACTCTCCGAAGCAAGGAGATGCATGAAACGCATGTCAGATCAGCACAGGAAAATCAAAAACATTGTTATGGTGTTAAAAGAAGTTGTGTTTTCTCTGCACATCTTTCTCATTTCAATGTCTGTACTGGCTACCCTCCAGATATTGCACATGACATCTTTGAAGGCATATTACCAGTCGAGTTGGCACACTGCCTCAATTTGTTCATTTCCAAAAGATATTTCACCCTTGAAAATCTCAATGAGTCCATTAAGAAATTCCCTTACAAGTGGACAGACAAGAGTAACCGTCCTCATGCTATTCCCAGGGCATTCACGGTGAAGAAAACTATTGGAGGAAATGCTCACGAAAATTGGAGTCTTTTGCGATTGCTTCCATTTTTGGTTGGACAGTTGGTGCCCCCAGATGAGCCAGCCTGGCAGGTCGTTTTGGACCTTAAAGATATCGTCGAACTAGTTGTTGCACCAGTGCACACGACACAATCCATTGCTTTCCTTGAAGCCAAGATTTGTGACCATAGACATAGGTTACAAGAGGTGTTTCCGGGT